TTCTTTTTCTAGTTCTTTAAGTTGGGACATTAGATTGTTCCTTTGAATTATTTCTTGTTTCTTTATGTTAGTCTGTAAGGCTATATATTTTCCTCTTATAACTGCTTTTAATGTGTCCCATAAGTATTGGAGATTTTTGTCGTCATTGTTATTCTTCTCCAGGTATTTTTTGATTTCTTCTTTGATCTCCTCATTGATCCAATGGTCCTCCAGTAGTGTGGGTTTCAGTCTCCATATGGTAGGTGGGTTTCTTGTTTTCCTTTATGGTTTATAAAACAATGCTGGTACTTAGTAAACAATGATAACTGCTCCCTATTAATATATAGCCAAGCCCACATTTTAAATATATCTAACTGTTCTTGCAACATAAAGAATTTTTAAAAGTAAATGCTCTGTTATAGAGGATACTGGTTGACCATTATGAATAATAGACTGTCCCCCAAATTTAGCCACTTAAAGCACTGATTATCTCACACAGTTTCTGTCAGTTAACAGTTTGAAAATGCCTAAGCTAAGTGCTTCTGATCTGGGGATTCTGCAGTTGCAAGCATCAGTCAGGGCTGCAACTATCTGAAGGTTTGATTGTGGATGGAAAATCTGCTTCCAAACTGACTCAATCACATGGCTGGCTACTCAGCACTCGCTACTAGCAGTATTTTTTCATTGGGCTAGGTAAGTACCCAACATTGGCTTCCACAAAAACAAGTGATAAAAGAGAAGAAAGCAGAAGCCATGATACCTTTTATGAATTAACTTTAGAAGGCACAGTCCATCATTTCTTCAATACCATATTGATTGCTTGACTCAGTCCTATTCAGTACATGGAGGTGAGATCTATGCAGGTGAATGAAAATCAGAGGGTGACACTTACTGAGTCATCTTAGAGGTGAATTACAATGTGCTCTGGATGGACAGTTCTCATTTATGTTGTAGTCTGCAGTCACTAATGGCTCTTTTTCTCCCTCTTTCTTTTTCTTTGTACTGTAATATACTTTAATTTACTAGACTGCAATTGGTATATTTAATAGCATAGTTCAGATTCATCTACTACTCATAATGAACAAGGCCTCCTCACAGTACGAAGAAAGCATACAAAAATACCAGAAGGCAGCTCAGCTCTTCCAGGGAAAGGTAAGTTTGGAATGAGAGATGCCCTTTTGAATAGCCATCCTGGGACACTAGAAATAGGAAGAAGGGGCCAGAGAAGTGAGATAAGTAAGGAAACAAGTATGTATGAGGATTAATGAAGCTGGAACTGGTACATAATCATACTACTCTGCTTTAAAGGTTTAAATGTATTTTTTATTGAAAGCTATATAATCATATTGCCTTCATGGTAAGTTTATTTCTTTTTTTCTGCATTCATCGGTGGGCAGAAATTGGAGACCCCAAGCACTAAGAGCGAAAATCACTGTTTACTTCTTGTCATGATCTCATAGGAGTTAAACCTCAGAGCTTATTTCCCATATAAAGTCCCTATAATTACTGGATACCTATTGATATTGATTAAATAGGTATTTCTTTTCCTTCCCTACTTTGAGTAGTTCTACCTGATATCACTGAAATAGTAAAACTCTAGAGACCTTTTCAAGGATAAGAACATTTGGTGTTTTTTTTTTTTTTCAAATATTTACTGTTACTGATTATATATGAGCTTCTAACCAGAACATTCTAAAGAAGTGTATTTTGAATAAAAGATTTGATTTAACAATACACAATAGTTACCATTACCAACCACTTAAGATATGGTAGAAACTGCTAGAAATATTAAATGCATCTTCACATTTAATGCTCCCTAACAAAAGGCTATTTTGCCAATGAGAAGCCTGAGCCTCAGAGAAGCTTAATAATGTGACAAAGTCACAAAGCTTAAAAAAAAAAAAGTGGAGGTAAAATTTGAAATCTATTTATACTTTGAACCATTAGGTTATACTCTATTTCTTAGGAACTCACTAAAGCTTCTTCCAGTTAAAATTAAATAAATTTGATCAAAGGGATGAAATACCAAAGAAATACATTTTAATTGCATTGAAACCTAAATGGTATGGCATAGACCACATATTCATTGTAAACTGTAACACTTACAAGGCCTTATTATCTCCAGGACCTCAAACAGATCTTTTTCTTTCAAATTTCTCCAACTGCAGATTCTTTTTGTGTTGGTAGACAGTAGTGTGAAGGAACATGGGAAGGTGATATCATATTTCAAACTAAAGGACTCTCAACTACCTGCTTTGGCAATGTATCGTACTGTTGATGAGGAGTGGGATACACTGCCTATTGAAGAAGTCTCAGTCGAACAGGTGCAAAACTTTTGTGATGGATTCCTGGCAGGAAAATTGTTGGTAAGTATGAGAGTACAGGCAAATCAAGTTGGCTGCCCCCCTGTGACTCTTTTATTTCCCTTTCCCTGGATAAAAAGCTTTTGGACATCATTACCTTTGATTAAATGCAAGGTGGATAAGGATGTGGTGGCCAGGATCAGAATTATGTTAAGGTAGGCCCAGCTTGGTGGCACAATGGGTGAAACTGCAGCACTCTGAAGCTGTCTTCAGACAATTGGCAAGAGTTTGAATCCCAAGGCTAGGTAGGTGACCCACATGGCATGGCAGATCTCTCCTGACCTGTCTTCTGCTTCCCTCAGCAGTGTATTTCAGTAAATTGCCTGTTCTGTTCCCCACTCTGTCACTCTGAGGCCTTTCACCCACCCCAGCACTTCTGACCTGTACCCCAGTTCTTCTATGCAGAAATAAATAAATCTTTAAAAAAAATAATTGTGTTGATGGGAAGCCCACGGGAATTACAACTGATATGGAAAAAGACACAAAATGATGTAAACATAAACTATTATATTATTTTTAAAAAAGAATTATGTTAAGCCACATTTAAGAGGTATTCAGAAAGATCTTACTTATTAAAGGACTTGAATTTAGGGTTTTGCTATTATGTGCATAATATCAACAGAAGACAAATTAAATCTATATAGAGTTCATGAGCTAAAAACTGAAGACAGATTTAAGGACTTTTAGGAGTAGTTAGATAGTTCAAGTGACTGATCTCAAAATTCAAAACAAGAGTGGACTCCAAAATCTACATATCAATATCATAATGTTTTTCAGAGAGAAAATCGTGATGCAAAAGAAAAGACTCCAAAGGTGGAACTCTGATTTTCCCTATGATTTCTGTCTACTAACCATTATCTACAATATGCTGAATAAAAAGGAACAATTCAAACCTCAGAGGCATTAAACAAAAGGATCATCAAGTTTCTGCAAATGCATGCGCATACACATCCGCTCTATTTGTAACTAAAATATCAATGACTGTTCTTATCGTTTCTTTTAAAATTCCTACATGGTCTCACTACTCATTCAATGGCCTCGCATGCATCTACACTGTATGACTATACAGTATAATATATTATAAAGCATTTCACTTGATGGAGGCTTTCAGAGAAATACCGTGCTGCTCTGGGAAGAAGAGACATTCCTAAGGAGAGATTGTGCTGATTTGTCACTTAATATTGAATTTGTACACTACACATGACTGACACACAATGTAGTTTCTGCTCTTTCTAGATGACCTACAAGTTGAAATTTTACTTTTCTCACAAGCATGTGTCCCTTTCTAACTTGCAGTCAAGTCTTTTTACCAAAATTTAAATAATGTTTCCAAACCTCTGGACTTAGTAGAATCAGACCATTTACAGACGCTATGTTTAACGTTCCTAACTCCCCATGTAAATGAACAACCCACAGAATAAATAAAAGGCAATCATGTTATAGGAAAAGATTGGCATCTCTTGCAAGCCTAACCTTTTGTAAATATCCAGGTGCCCAACCAAGCTGTATTAACCTCAGCCTTTAGTGCCCACTATTCACGATCAAGTTATGAGCCACTCCTATGTTATTGTTCCCTCTGTGGGTGGGCAGGGAGATGGGTTAGTACCATTCAGAACTAGAAATCAAATCAGGTAAAAGGTTGGGGAATGGGTATGAGCAGGGGACAGCAGACACTGGGGAAGTGAGGCCAGGGCTGACTCAGCATGCATTATTGCAGGTGAGGTGGGCAATGAAGTGGAGCAAGTTTGGCCAAGTACCTCTGGCTCGTAGGCTGTTCCTGTCAATACACAGATACTACATTGTTCCCAGGAGTCTCTTGGCTCAGAAAGAAAGTACCTAAGTGCTGAAGAGCTGAAAAACCACAGTGCACACCTAAGAATTGGTCCAAGTGAGGCATAGAGTGAAAGACTTAGTTGTTCCTTTCTGTCGGGAAAACGCCATAGCTTCTGAGCAACCTCCCAGCAGCTGGCCAGGACCCCGTGAAAGCGGCAGTGTGGCCGCTCCTCTGAGCAACATGAGACGGACAGAATTTGGAGGAAGCCATCCATCCACCCCCAGGGCTGCTGAAAACCACCCAAACAGCTTCTGCTTGAGGCTGAAAAATATTCCTAGGATAGGCACATCCCAGAAGCCTCCCTTTGATCCTGTAAACCAAAGTTCACAGTCAGGAAATTCTTCCTGATGTCCAGCTGAGATCCTCCTGTCACACAAGCTGGTTCCTCTTCACCTACAATCCACAGAAAGCCATAACAGCTGCCAATCACCATCTTCAAATGTCACCCCACTGGTTGTGGGTAAGCCTCCTTATCCAGTCAGTTTTTCTCCATACTCACAATCCAACTCTTCTGTTTGTTTAAAAGTTATTTGATTCACTTTATTTTTTTTCTCTCTTCTCTCTTTCCCAATGGTCCCTCTTTCATGGGACAACAATCCCACTTGAATTAAGTAAATGCTAAAGCATTAAGTTCCCATGAGCTACATTATGATCAGTATTGGGTTAATTTTACTCAAAATAGCCTCTCAATGATTATTGTCAACATCAAATACACAGATCTTATTTACAGTATATTTTGCTGCTGAATGACATTCGATAGCAATTTTATTATATTGTCTTTTGTATGCTTACTTTTGTCTTTATGGCACTGTTATTCCTTTTCCATGGATAGTTCCCTAAAACTGCAAGATATATTGCCTTCTTTCCTCTAAGTCATTCCTGTTCTTCATAGTTATGAGGAATCTGAACCAAAGAATGGAAATTCTTTGGAAAAAGAGATGTATAAAGGTTCTAATTTATTCACTAAAGGTCAGAATCAGTATTATAAATATCCTTTATATTACGTCTAGCTTTTCTTCCAGGAGTAATAACTTCCTAAGACTCTAGATTAATCCCCCCCAATCTATGTTATTATTTTCTATTGAGATAGATCGCGGCTACTTTTCCTTAGTAGAATCATTCACTGGCTCGTTACACTGTGGAATAATTTTTCATTTAAAGTATGAAGGAAGTGGCGATGTTATGCAAGAGACCCTTGTCAAAGATATTGACTCAGATTTGGAAGATTTCATGTTAGAAGGAAGGAGTGGGAGTACAGCATGAGTCAGAAGGTGGCCAGGGCAGCTTGTGTTTGAGTCTTATCTCTTCTGTGATGTGGCTTTGTGATCTTGGGAAAACTAATTTCTGTCCTGGAATTTCAGTTCATTGAGGATAATACAGTAATTCATAGGATTTTTTTGAGATCCCAGAGTACAGAATCTGCTATTATTTTTATTTTATTATTAATATTATACTAGCTTTCCCAGGTAACAGCTAATTCTTCCACTGTCTAACTTACAGAAAAGGATTTCTTTTAGGATTTTTTTTTAGGTGACACTGGATTACAACACTGAATGTAATTCAGTGTAATAGGTTCACACCTCCTCAAATGTATATCACCACACCGACCTTGAGAGTATCTATCTACACCCCTTTGCCATATACCATTTGGTCTCCTCCCCTTTCATTCCTCACCTCCACTGCCCTCCCTCTCTAGAAGCCTCAATTCTATAATGATATTTCCAGGCTTTATCTACATTTAATTTTGTCAATTAAATTGTTTTGTTTCTACATAAGGATGAAGTAATCTGGTAATTTGTCTTTCTCTTTCTGGCTTACTTCATTTGGCATAATACCCTCCAATCCCCTTCAGGATCTTTAAAAGTACTGACATGGGAGTCACACCTGAGATTAAAGAAGTGCATGAGATAACTATTTTTTAATGTACGTCTTACTATTATTCACCTACAGTGAAGTCAACAGATTGGGAAGATGGCTGCCATTAAAAAGATGTCCAGTTCCTGGGCCCTCCCTGGTGGCGCAGTGGATTAAAGTGCAGCACTAAGAATCAAAAGCCACTTCCATATGAGTTCGATCCCTGCCTGCCCCGGAGGTGACCCACAAAGCATGGCAGACCTCTCCTGACCCGCCCACTGCTCCCCTCAGCAGTGTACTTCGTCAGTCCTCCTGTTATGCTCCCCACTGTGTCTCTGGTGAATCCTCCCGCCGCTCCTGCACATCTGGCCTGTATCCCAGTTCTGTATGCATAAATAAATAAATAAATCTTAAAAAAAAAAATCCAGTTCCCAAGGGATCGTGCTTAGTGAAATAAACCAGAAAGAAAAGGAAAAATACCAGATGGTTTCACTCATAGCAGGAGTATAAAGGACCAGGGGAGAAAATAATAATAAAAATGAACAAGTATATACCAGAGACATTTTACAAGGGTGGAGTGGGGAATGGAATAAAAAATGGGGGAGAGGGGAAGTACACTGTACTTTGGTGATGGGAAGCCCACGGGGATTACAACTGAGATGGAAAAAGGCACAAAATGATGTAAAAATAAACCATTATATCATTTTTTAAAAAATTTTTTAAAAAGGTGTCCAGTTCCGGCCCTCCCTGGTGGCGCAGCGGGTTAAAGCACTGCACTGAGAAGCTAAAGCCACTTCCGCATGAGTTCAAATCCCGCCTGCCCCGGAGGAGACCACATGGCGAGGCAGACCTCTCCTGACCCGCCCGCTGCTCCCCTCAGCAGTGTACTTCGTCGATCTGCCTGTTCTGCTCCCCGCTCTGTCTCTGGTGAAGCCTCTCACCGCCCCTGAGCCTCTGGCCTGTACCCCAGTTCTGTATGTACAAATAAATCTTTGAAAAAAAAAAAAAAAAAAGGTGTCCAGTTCCCAAGGGATCATGCCTAGTGAAATAAGCCAGAAAAAAAAGAAAAATACCGGATGGTTTTACTCATAGCAGGAGCATAAAGTACTGTGGGGTGGGGGAGGAGGGGGATAATAATAATAATGAGCAGAGACATTTGATAGGGATAGAATGGAGAATGGGATCAAAAATGGGGGGCGGGGTGTGCACCGGATTATGGTAATGGCACATGGATGAATTGGTGATAGGAAATCCACAGGGATTACAATTGAGATGGAAAAAAGCACAAAATGATGTAAAAATAAACTATAATAATAATAATAAAGATGTCCAGTTCCCAAAAGGAGGGAACAAGGCATACCATTCAGGGCAGTGTGGGGAAGCAACAGGGTCCATCAGGACACAGTAGTAGCTAAGAGACAACATGAAAAATATTACCACACTTTATTCTGGTTTCTACAAAAAGGAGTGAGCAAGGCAACATAAGTAGCCTTAAGATCGGATGGTTTGAATAATTTCAGCAAGGCTGAGATTATCCAATGGAGGTATTTGTGCTGAGATATCTTTGCAGGGTTGTCCAACATTGAAAAATGGGGTCCAGATCTCTATATCCTCACACTGATTATAGTTTACATAGAAGAAAGTTGTGTGATCATGGACAAGAAGACTTGTCCCTAGCTGTCTGGACCTAGCCATGGTGATTAGAGCAGGGAGATGGAGACCCAGATCATGCATGCCCTTTGAGAACTCAGGAGAGGAGGTAGCTAGGGAATAAACTCTGGACTTACCAGTTTACACATGAAAGACACTTTAGCAGATGATCTGTTTACTACATCTAGAAATTATCTCATCCTGGGAAGGACAACCTCTCCAGAGTCAGCAAGTCCCCCAAGTATCAAAGCATCAAAAATACATGGCTAATACAATGCTCTACTACCACTAATTATGAGCTTCCTCTCCCAACTCACCTAGCTTGGTCATGCTACAAAGGAAGGCATGCTGTCTTCCTCAGGGCCCTGTTAATGCACATGTCTTGTGTAGCTGGGGACAGGATGGGTGCCTTGTGATGTATTATTTTAAGAGAATTTTATTTATTAGTTTGTCCATTCATTATTTAAATGCTTACTAATCTAAATTACAAGTGTGCCAGAAGAAAAACTTTCCCAAAGACAACAAAG